CTCAATAATAATGCGTAGACTAAGCGGTCCACGGTAGGAAAATATACGAGAGAACCAGACAGGCTTTAGACCAGGAAGAGGATGTATTGATCATATCTTCACACTTCGACAGATTCTGGAACATAGGCATACTTACCGGCGTCCAACAATCATTATATTTCTTGACCTAAATGCGACATTCGATTCTATCGACCGAGAGGTTCTCTGGCGATGCTTGGCTGTAAAAGGAATGGCGAGAAAATACATTGATCAAGGGACTCTACTCGAACTCATGCAGCCGGCTAGGTGACAGCCTACGGAGAAATGTCATCTGAAGTGGTGACAACTAGTGTCTGTCAGGGATGCCCACTATCCCCATTTCTGTTCAATTTCATCGTAGATGTACTAATGGACTTAACCCTAAGTGACTTCAGAGACTCAGGGATTGACTTGTTAATAGCGAATAGTAGTCCCGTTGACTTAGAATATGCAAACGATATAGTTTTGTTAGGTGAAGACTCTGGCTGATGAAATGCAGAGTTTTATGAATACCTTGAGGAGCAGAAATCTTCGAATGTTTGGCATGTGATTCGTTCTTGTGAGACGTAAGGTGATGCTACGGGACTGGACTACATTGACTAATAGCTTAAAGATAGGGAGTGAAGTGAATGGTGGAGCGTGTTGAACACGTCACTTATTTGGGAAGTTGCATCAGCCAACGCCAACGGGTTGATCTCTGACGAAATCTCAGTACACATACAGAGGGCTAGTTTCGCACATGCCAGTTTACGCCGTCTCTGCCGTAGACGTGATATCCGGCTGGCTGTCAACCAAAGGGCGGGTGTACTGCTCAACAGTCCGCTCCGTCCTCCTTTATGGCTGGCTGTGAGACCTGGCCATTGAGAGTGGAAGACATGAAAAGATTAGCTGTCTTCGATCATAGGTGTCTGCGTTCTATCTCCCGTGTGAAGTAGTATAATAAGGTGAGCAATATTGAGGTTAGGCGTCGAGTGCTAGGTAAGGAGGGGAAATCAGTCGACGAGACTGTGAAATCACATCGACTGAGATGGTTAGGACATGTGTTTCGTATGCCTAGTCATCGCCTTCCTCGACAACGGGCAATGTTAGCTGACATAGGGTCAGGCTGGAAAAGAACTAGCGGTGGTCAAACGAAAACATGGCACCAGTCAATGAAATCCACAACAGTTAGTCTAAGGCACGTAGGAAGATGTAGACTTCCTGACTGGTTGGGGTCCTCGGGACGGTAAAAACCAATGGTTGGAAACAATTGGTGACATGGCTCGAAATCGTTCTCAGTGGCGCAGATGCATCCACTCCTTGTGGCTTATGATTTCCAATGAAACTGTATTGTTCTTCGTTATTACTATTCCTTTGTCTGATATCCTTGTCTACTATCTCTGTTATGCATTTCTTCTAATTTCTTTTGCTTTGTGTGCTACATGAAGTGTGGCGACTCAAGCTGTTGCACATCAGTGCGAAGTCCTATGTTGAAAACAGACAGAGAGACAGTGTCGGTTAGGTATTTTCATCACCCCTGCCTTCCATATGATCCTGTTCGTAGCCGCAAGTCTCTTCTACCAACTTGTTGGCCTGTAGATCTTGCAGTCTGTATGACACTAAACACAAACTGTCCACGAAGTCCCAACCTACTTATGTCATCCCGCTTACCACAGTCTTCTGGATGAGCCAGCCCACCGTAATCAGGAATATATTCGGTGATTACAACCCATTAATCGTTAATATGTCTGAATTTAGGTTCTATTTGTAAAACCTCATAAGAAATCACTCAAAATAAGCATTTGCTTAAATTGTATTTTCTTATTTTAAAAAGTCACAGAATTCTTGAAAGCATAGAATTTAAATCGACAAACAATCGGTCGATCAATGTATATATTAAAATACTTCCTAAGAAATAATCCTTCAGTTCCACCTGGACGAGATTTCAGGCATACTCAACTGTTCAAGAGAAATGAAATTCTTGGATTACTAATAGTTTCAGCTATGCTCAGATATTTTGACCTCATTCCCTTTAAGAGGTTTGATCGTATGTTGTATAAGACTTTGAAGGATTTTTCAAAAGGAGCTGAGTTGTCCTGAGTTCACCAGATGTTCTGCTATGGAGCTATACACACACACACACCTAAGTTCTTCCTTTGCTAGCCAGCCTGGGTAGTGCTTCTGAGTGCGTTTTACAAGCAGGCTCATAGTATAGGCAATGTACTCAGGTTCACAGGAGCAAGTGAACTAGTATATAAAAATACATATATATCGACATGGCCTAATGCGACAGCTTCTCTTTCACGTGTTGATCGAATAGTCCCTCGCAAGAAAATGTTACTCATAGCCTGGCGGTAAAGTATGTTTTACTGAGATATCATGAAAGCCTTTCGGGGAATTTCAACCTGAGTATCACTTTTATATAAGATAATACAGTTGCCTTTTCTAGATGACTTCCAGATAATTGCAACTCTGGTCAGTATCTCCACCTCAAGAGTGTTGCAATATTCACAGAGCCAAACAGTAGTAGTGATAGTAGAATTACTTCATCTTCTTGGGCAAACCAGTAAAAACAGTTGTATATTCAAGTGTTGGATGTACAGAGAGTTGATTGGTTACAGGATTTCATCATGAACTAACATCGGTGAGAGAATCCGGGACCTACCAGTCGTGCTATTTCATGAGCTGGCAGAATTTGAAATTCATGACCTATATGGCATCAGAACTCAGTGATGTAATGGTCTACGAATACGCTTTGTAAACGGAAGATCCTGGTTTCAAACCCCATTGGGTGCGTATTGCTAGAGAGTTGCAAACAGCTGTCCAGTACCCCGTTTTCTACGGGTTCTCTAACCAGCATCATCTCATGATGAAATTCTGCACTAGATGTATATGTCTGTTAACAAACCGAATTGCCTATAAACTGAACTCGAGGACACTATCTAGACTGGCTGGTTATTATTATTATTGTCCCCTTGGGTTCCTAGTGGAACATAGGGCTTCAACTACACATCTTCACTTGCTTCTGCTGTACTTTTCACCTGCATCCATGTTAGTCCATACTGTTTCAACTCCTCTTCACACGATCTCCTCCATGTCACCCTCGCACCGACGAACCACTCACCGCTTCCCTTTCGGGTTCCACTCGAGCATTGGCCTGACGCGCGATGTCACCCAGCGGCCTCCTCAGCTCAGCGAGTGTCCAATCCATCTCCACTTTCTCCTGCATATTTGTTGGGCGATTGGTTCTTGTTTTGTTTCTTCCCATAGTTTCTTGTTGGTGATTCTTTCCGGCCACCTGATCTTCAGTATAGAGCCAGCGAAGACAGTTGTTGATAAAGGTCTGCAACAGGCTGTTGGAAATATTCTTTGTGACCCGCCAAGTTTCTGATCCATATAGAAGAACTGACTTGACGTTTCTATTGAAAATCCGAATTTTGTTGTTGATACAGGCTGATTGACGAAGATTTCCAGATTGGTTTCAGGTTGAAGAATGTGTTTCTCGCCTTTCCAATTGTCGATTTGACATCCTCGTCGGTTCCTCCTGTAGTTGAGGCAATACTCCCTAGATAAGTGAATGAAGTAACCTCTTTCGAATCCCTGGATGTTGCTGTTGTTGTTGGTTAGTTATTTTCATAACCTCCGTCTTGTCTATGTTCACCTAGAGTCCTGTCTTTGCTGCTTCTTCGATTTTGTGTGACATCAAACATAAATCATCTGCGAAATCTAGGTCTTCTAGGTTCTTCACGTCGGTCCAGGATATCCCTGTCTTCTCGTTTCCCACTGTCTGACGCATAATCCTGTCCACTACAATTAAGAATATCATTATTTTTGATTTGACACTAGTAACTAGTGTGATGCGTCTAGTCCTCTCTTTGCTGCAGACTGAATTCTATCAGTCAGGTTGTAATGTGGCCACCATTCTAGGTAGCTCGCCATCACGGTATACATTGTTTGTGATGATATTAGGTGGTTGGAGGCAATCGGCAGGAAGCCTTGGACCTAGGTTTCGTGCTAGTTGGCACTCGTCAGCAAGGCGTATCTGCAACCTTGAAGGAACTCATGTCCCTTCTGAGATTCGAACCCGCGTCACCCAGTGCTGCAGTCAGAGACGTTACCACTGAGCCCGAATAGCTCAGTGGTAACGTCTCTGACTGCAGCACTGGGTGACGCGGGTTCGAATCTCAGAAGGGACATGAGTTCCTTCAAGGTTGCAGATACGCCTTGCTGACGAGTGCCAACTAGCACGAAACCTAGGTCCAAGGCTTCCTGCCGATTGCCTCCAACCACCTAATATCATCACAAACAATGTATACCGTGATGGCGAGCTACCTAGAATGGTGGCCACATTACAACCTGACTGATAGAATTCAGTCTGCAGCAAAGAGAGGACTAGACGCATCACACTAGTTACTAGTGTCAAATCAAAAATATCCATTACAGTCCTACAGGAGGTCAATCGCGAGCCCGAATAGCTCAGTGGTAACGTCTCTGACTGCAGCACTAGGTGACGCGGGTTCGAATCTCAGAAGGGACATGAGTTCCTTCAAGGTTGCAGATACGCCTTGCTGACGAGTGCCAACTAGCACGAAACCTAGGTCCAAGGCTTCCTGCCGATTGCCTCCAACCACCTAATATCATCACAAGAATATCATTGGTGATAATAAGCACCCTTGTCTGACTCCTGTGTTTACTCCAAACGCCTCGCTGAGTTTTCCGTTGTGAATGGATCACTTGACATGTGCCGTTGTCGTACAGCTGGCTGGTTAGAAGGGAGAAAAGACTGGTGCGTTTGATAGTCCACCTTACTGTCTGTGTGTGTATCTATCCATGCTGGATTCAAGAAATTATTAAAAAGATACCACCACCGCCAGCACCACCGCAACGACCATCATCACAGTAGAAACGAGAACAATAACAAAACACCAAAATATATAGGCAAAAAAGAAAATCTAAAACATGTTATATATTCACATCATAAAAATTCATATACACACATAAACACAGTAAATAGTAAGTAAGTAATTAAGTAAGTTATAGTATTTATAGTAATAGTAATAATAATGATACTAGTAATAATTCTACAATGACAAAAACGATTTACGGACACAATTACAGAGAAAGGGAGAGAGTTGTAATACAAAGGCAACACAATAAATGGATTCATTTAACAATAATAATAATATACAAATGTGGTGGAAATCTTTGGGAAGGAAAACAAATTCAACACAAAAAAATAATAATAATGATAAAAGTGACAATGGTATCCTCCAAATAAATGAGAACAAAATGGAAGAACAAGAAACAGAAACGAAAACGAAACCAACCAGACAACAACAGCAACAACAAGAACAGCAACAACAAATACATAAAATAAAATAAAAGATAAATAAATACATGCATAATTTGTTAACATATTGATATCAACAGAGGATTAGTTCTTCTTTGCCCCACTTTTAATCCTATTTGTGTGTGTGTGGATGAATGTGTAACTGTGTGTATGTGAGTGGGTGAGCGAATGAGTGAGTGAGTAGGTGACAACAGTTACCAGTAGTACAAAGAGAGAGAGTTATTCACAAATATATTTCCTTTTTTTATTTATTGATAAAAGCAATAAAACTGTTCAACACATTTGTAAGGCAGAGTTGTTGGCACTCATCTACATACATACAAACATACATAGGAATATAGATACATAAGGTAAAAGGTATACACAACACAGTAAGTAAACAGTACACCATAAGATCTATGTGTAATATAGACACACTTTAAGCAATCTTTGGCTTGTGATGTGTGTATGCCGGAGCGAGGGAGAGAGACGGGAGAGGGAGAAATGATTGACATGTATGCATGACAAAAAGAGAAAGGTTAGGAGAGAGAGAAAGGGCGGGGTTGTGGAGAATGTGTAACTGTACAATCACTTACTTCTTTAATGTTCCCAGTTTGTGTGGTTGCGTGTGTCTGTGTTTCTATTTCATTTCATCAAGAATATACACGGAGAAGCCGACGGCAACGGCAACGACAAGGAGGACAACAACATTAATGATAGATAATAATGCATATATCAATCTACTATTAAGAGTAGTGGTATTTGTATTTGCAGTCAGCTATTTTATTGTTTTACAGAAAATAAGTGTGTTGAAAATATAACGAATTAAATTCCATAGAGGAGCATAGAGGATGGATAGATAGATATGGAGAGAGGAAGATTTCGACAATCACCATCCTAGTCAGTTCTGATTATGAATAGATATGATGTTTTTTACACAATAGGATATACTGTTCCCGATCTAAATGACATTCTAAACAAAAGAATAACAACAAGAAAATAAAACATAGAAATTAGCTTTATACTCCCTTCAATTGAGTACTGTGGTAAAATAAATGTAATTTCATACACTTCAAGGATTTCATCATGCGCTGATATCAATCAGTTAGAGATCCATTGGAAAACCACCAGGGACTCTTCAGCGGTACTCACCCACCTGCCGGGGTTCGAACCCAGGACCTTCTGGTTACAAGGTGAGCTCTCAGTTACCTGGGGTTCTGGCGGAAAGCTGTGATCAGTAGGGTGTGCAGTAGGTTGAAGCTGAGGCGGTAACTCATCGAAGAAGACAATGCGAAATGGTCGCGCTACGTCATAAATTGGCAGAAGATAGAATTCATGGGATGGCCATTGAATCGGGTCCCAGTGGTTTAATGGTCTACGAGTTCGTTAGCCCTGTAATCAGAAGGTCCTGGGTTCGAACCCTAATGGGATGGGCGCGTACTGCCGAAGAGTCCCAAAACAGAACGAAACAGGTTTCCAATGGTTCTCTAACTGATGTCAGCTAATGATGAAATCCTCCAACCAATTAAAGAATTATCATAGCAAAAGTTGAAGTCTTTGATTAGACGCTAGTTAGTAACTAGTTGTAATGTGTTTAGTTCTATCTTTGGTGCAGACTGAATTCCATCAGTCGCGTTTGCATTATGTCCACCATTCTAGGTGGTTCCCCCCATCACAGTGCACTTTGAATTAGTGATAATAGATGGTTGGAGGCAATCGGCAGGAAGCCTTGAACCACTTAGTCAGTAAGGTGTATCTGCAACCCTGAAGGAACTCATATCCCTTCTGAGTTTCGAATCCATGATGGCCATTCAACTAGAATGGTGACCAAATTGCAAACTCGACTGATAGAATTCATTCTGTACTAAAACAGACGACTAGAGACGTTACAACACTAGTTACTGACTAGTGTTCAATCAAAAATATCCAATACAGTCTCCTACAGGAGGTCAATCCCAAGCCCGAATAACTCAGTGGGAACGCATCTGACTGCAGGCAGCACTGGGTAACGCGGGTTCGAATCTCAGAAGCGAGATGAGTTCCTTCAATGTTACAGATACGTCCTACCGACTGATGAATACCAACTAGCATGAAACTCAAGTGGTCCAAAGCTTCGTGCCGATCGCTTCCAACTATCTAAGGTGAAGGTCTTTCAAAATCTGAACTACAAGAACCAATCAGATTTAGGGTACACTACGAAAGATCACTCTAAATCAAATTATGCTATAAGAGAAAATCTTTTCATGAGGGTAGGGTACAGTATTCTACTTATCTTCTAGGTACTTGTTTTCTAATAAGGTTTAGGGTTAAAGTTAGAGATAGGTCAGAGAACTGAGTCAGTTATCCCAGTGACACTAGAAAACTGTAAATATTATTTTATTTCTATTTGTACTGCTAACTTCATTATCAATATCGTACGGTGTTCTGATTGTATATATTTTAATCTAAATTTCACAATTTATTATCATATTATCTAACCAAAACACAAAAACCGTCCATGCTTACTGCTCCCAAGAAACTTCTCCATTTGAATCTACAATTCAACGGAGATTCTTCAGCAGAAATACTGAGAAACCACCTGTGCCGTTCACTGAAGAAAACCTTCTTCGCAGCTGAACTCAGACTAACTTTCTCTACGAAACCAATGATTCGCATGAACGTGAAGGATAAGCTTCCACTGGGGGCCTCATCAATGTGCATCTACCAATTCACCTGCTCATGTGGAGCTAGGTATGTCGACCATACCCAGCGTTTGCTATCCAAACGAATCAGCGAACACTTACCTTTATGGTTTTATAAAGGAGAAAGAAGATCCCCCCGCCACAGCTCCATCCTAGAACACTTGATCGAACCCGGACACCAAGCAAACCCACAAAACAACTTCTCAGTTATCTACACAATACGTGGGAATCTTGCCAAAAGAGTACGAATTAAACTTCTTCAAACTGCAGAAGCAATGGCAATTCACATATTGAATCCTGAACTCTGCATACAAAAGAAGTTCGTCCAGTCACTAAATCTACAATGGTCCTGATCTATCTCAACACCAAATACGTAATTTTGTCCTACCTCTTTCTTCTTTGTTTGTCTGTTTCTTAATTGCATTATTTTCTACCCCCACCCTCTATTAAATCTCTACCCTCATGACGACTGTTACTAACTCCATTTTCGTTTATTTTTAAGTGAATTCTACTCAGATTATTAACTTGACTCTCATTCATTTTTCATTGAACCCTATCAATTAGATTACGTCACCCAACCTACTTTTGTAACTTTATTTTAGTTTCTAACCGATTAACGCCTTCTAAATTACGTAATTTGTTGTCAAAAAATTAACAATTGCATTAACACATCTTTGGAAATATTCCTTTTGTTGCCAAGAAAAATTACTATAAATTTGCGGTTTGTACAGCTTGAGAATGATATCGCCGAAAAGAGTAACTCTTTGCTGAACGCCTTTTATTTTCTATGACTGAATGGGAATTTTCAAATTGCTAATCGATATGTGACAATAGTTATTTTCCCTTCTAATCTTACTAGTATACATATTCTACTTGATTAGATTTGATTCTATTGATCCATATTGTCTCAAGTGTCTAAGACTGATGTCTTATTATTTAACTTGAAGAACATCATACATTCAGCGAACAGAATCTTTTCGATGAATTTATAATTAAGCTGTACAATCGTATATATGTACATATACGGTTTTCACCAGCTGTAAGTTGTTCCGTGTCTTCTCTGTGAAAAATAAGCTCCCTCGTTTGGCCGCCTCCACGTGCATCTATCAGCTCACCTGCTCTTGTGGAGTAAGGTTCACTGGCTGCAGCCATAGAACGCCACATTCCACACGAACACACGTACATATCCCAGCGTGGTTTTAAAAGAAGGGAAAACAAGGGTGTGCGAAGCTCTATCCTAGAACATTTGATCGACTCCTGTCACTCCACCAACCTTGAACATGATTTTGAGATCATCTATCTATTAAGTTCACGCTAACTTGCCGGCCGCGTTTTCTTCGTTATAAACTTCTATAAACACCCAAAGCCTTGATCATTCATGAATTTAAGCCACACTTTTGTCTTATGTGTACAAGAGAAGTATGTACAATCTTTATTTTTGCCTTGACCATAGAGGAGGGGGGGGTAGGCATTTCTATTTATTTTTTGTTTATTTAGTTAGTCCATATACCTTTCTCTTATTACTAGGATTATTATTATTATAATTATCACTGTTATTATTACTATTCTCAACTTGCAATGTTGAATTCTGTCTTACCGAATTTCACACCATGTTACGCAATGCTTTATATTAGCCTACTAACCCTATAATTATACACCCGTTTCCAACATCCACACGTCCTATGAATTGTTCTATATATGACATTAATTGTTTTACCAATTGATACTTGATATTTAACAATTATTATAACCACAAATAATCCACACCCATGTTTAAATTTCCTCAGAGAATATAATTGCTTAATATAAAAAACACCGTGTATATATACGATTGTAGTGCTTGATAATAAATTTGTTGGAATGAGTCTTTTTGGCGAATATTATGTTCTTAATGTTACAAGGCGAATCATCACAGTATTATATAATTGTAAAGCCTGATAAGAATTTACCAAAAATACATTTTTTGCTTGCCTTATTAACGTTTTTTACGAATTGATCACGGATTGATATCAGTTGGAGAACCATTGAAAACCAGCACTGGAGTACTGGACAGCTGTTTTTTCATCCTAGTTTGGGAATCATCGGCAGTACGCACCCACTCCATTAGGGTTCGAACCCAAGACCTTTCGGTTACAAGGCAAGCTGGCTCGCATACCATTCAGCCACTAGGACCCGATTCAATGGTCAGTGCATGAATTCTAACTTCCCTGGTTTTCAATGGTTCTCTAACTGATATCAATCCGTGATCAACTCGTAAAAAAAACTAACCCTTAAAAACCAAACTATAGATTATTAATGTTCTATATTAATCTAAATGGGGATTTTTACATCATAGATTCAAAAGTACACCATGCTCTACAGTCACCTGGGATGAATATATCCTCCATCGTGTGTATGGTATAATTCCTTGGAGTAATTGGGAAATATTCTTACAACACACAGGCATAAAATTATCCAATTTGTAATGTTTTTTTTAAAAATACATTTTGTAACGATTCTGTGACTTTTTGCATCTAAATTCTGATTGGTGGTTGTACAAGGTCACTGTGATTTTAGTTATGATACTTTAACTTTACCAGGGAATTTAAAGTCTCGATAGTACTGCCATATATATACGATTTATCAAATACCATGGTAATGACTGTTAGTGAGATCAATTACATAGGTCAAATTAATAAATCGAGGTCAGCCAGATCAACGGAATATAAAAATTTAGGCATACCTAGAGTAATTGATCGTGCTAAGTTAAGTAACTTGGATAAAAAAGTTACGCCATTACAATATGCATTCACACTTGCCGCGTGAATACATTGAAATGATTATGAGCAATAAACTGTGCTCAAAACATCATGCAGTTATCGACGCTATATCATTGTGTGTGTGTGTGTGCTATATCAAGTATATTTATCTCTACGCTCTCTATCAAACAACAAAAGCACCTTAGCACAATCTGGCATTATCACTATTGAAAGAAAACCAACTTCGTATCACACTCAGTTTTATTTATCGAGAAGGAGAGAGAGAGAGAGGGAGCGGAAGGGGGGAGTGCCACATGATTTTCAGTCATTACGGTTCTCAGGATGTATATAATTAATCCCTGACTTTAGTTTTCATTTAGCCAAATATCAAAACTGAACTAATAAGATTTGCGCTTGCATTTCAAAGCTTATAAGACGGAATACAAGTTTACTTTTCAAGAACATCACATATAAAATGCGTTAAATCATGAAGAAGATATTACGAAATGGTCGCGCTATGGCGTGAATAAGCAGAAGTTAGAATTCATGAGCCATTAGATCGGGTCTCAGTGGTTCAATGGTCTACGAGTTCGCTAGCCTTGTAACCAGAAGGTCCTGGGTTCGAACCCTAATGGGGTGGGTACATACTGGTGAAGAGTCCCAAACTAGGCTGACGAAACAGCTGGCTGTCCAGTACTCCCTGGTGGTTTTCCAATGGTTCTCTAACTGATGTCAGCGCATAATGAAATCCTCCATCCAATCAAACATAATCCCTACAAAACCAATACTTGAAAATCATGAATTGACAAAAATTAGAATTCATGGGTCGTTGAACACCACACACCTCAGTGGTAGAATGATCGATAGGACGCGTCTTATATGTAGCCTAAAATCCTGAGTTCGATAATTTGTGGGGTTGTTGGTGGTATTTGCTACTGAAGAGTCCCAAATTAGAAAGAAGTACCTGTCCAGTGTTCTTTAAATTTCCAGTGGTTCTCTAACTAATGTCGGTTCGTAACGGATTCTACATCAAAGTATGTATAAATAAATGAATTGTTAAACTAAAAGTTTTGAGCATTTTACTAGTCATTGACAAAGTGGAATTTTTCATACTATAAGTGAACTTTTCAAGCATGTAAATACAGTAGTAAGTAAGTTGATAAGTAAAACAGCGTAGAATTTTTTAGCCAAGACGACTTTTCTTGACAACTCTGCTTGATTCTCCGAAAACAAACCCTGACAATTAAGATAATGGAAATACAGGTAACTTCCAGTCACTAGTGAGCATCAGGGTGCTTACTGGTGTGAAGAATCCCGAAGTAGGACGAAACAGCTGTCCATTACTCCTAGGTTTCCAAAGGTTCTCCAACTGATGTCAGCTTGTGTTCGATCCTGTAACCAATCGAATCCCTGCAAACCGACACTTGATATTCAATCTAATGCTCACTAGCGACTGGCCCTGTACAGGAAGTCGTAACCAGCGGAGTTCACCAGGTCAGGCAAGAGAACAGTTTCTCGCCTGTGACACTGACTGGCGGCTGTGCTAAAATCACGAATTAGTACAAGTTAGAATTCATGGGCTGGACATTGAGCCGTGGTTCCAGTGGCTGAATTTTCTAGGAGGTCACCTTGCAACTGGAAGGTCCTGCGGTTCGAATCTCAGTGAGTGAGTGCTACTGAGGAATCCCAGACCAGGAAGAAATAGCTATCCAGTACTCCCAGATTTATCAAAGTTTCTCTAACTGATGTGAACTCATGATCAATCCTGTGGACAATCAAATCCCTGAGAACCAACACTTGATAAGTGAGACAGTGACAGATTAATTACCTAATAATTGAGTCATTTTTAATTAATAAGACTCAGTGAATATATCTCATAGAATCAATCAATTAACATTCTATTATCTTACACTATGAATACATTTTTAGGCCTATTTCAATAATGTAATGATATCTACAGGCGAAAACCAACAACTTGGCAGATGGAGGAGCATGGACGACAGGACTTCAAGTGAATGGACATAAAGAAGATGGAGGTGATGAAGATACCACGAACGACAACAACGCAGAGCAACAGAAAGCGTCTATGACAGTAATCTAAAGAAATTCACCTCTTTCACCTACCTACCTGGGCAACATCACTTCATCTACGGGAGTCACAGATGAGGATATCGAAGTCATGATAGGAAAAGCAAGACATACCCCTATTACTCTGACATCAGTGATGAAACCTACTGAATTCAACAAAAGGAACAAGATCAGGATTTTCAACTCACTCAGTTCTTATATATGGGTCAGTGACTTGACAGCAAGTGAAACCAAAAGCCATTTATCAACAGTCTACACTTCTCTAGCTCGATAATGAAGATCACAAGGCCGGTCAGAAATAAATAAGCAACGAGGAACTCTAGCAACCAACCAACCAAGAACTTATTTCCCAAAAAATAAGTAGAAGGAAATGAAGATGGATTCAACAAGTGCTGAGGAGACTGTTGAGTGTCATCTTGTGCCAGGCCCTACAATGGAGCCTGGGTGGCATAGAGGAGATCGTGTGGGGAGCAAATATAAGTTTATGGGGCGATCGTGGAGCCATCTAGCAAAAAAAACTGCAGAGAAGAAAGTAAAGCGGCGATGTGCTATTGAAGGTTCATATTCCACTAGGAGCACAAGAGAATAACCGTAGTCTACAAGGTGAAGGCAGTGCACTTCCGTCTCCTTAGCATTGCTGAGACTTTAGCCATTCCTTTATTTACAGAAACCTGAGCTATGTATACAAAAGAAAATCATGGTAAAATCCTTATTGATTTGTACCAACTTGATTTTTGTTTGTTTGTTTTTCTAACTCCTTATAGCTCTTATATTGCTTGACAACTCTTATTTTTTTTTATTCCTTGACGTTACCAGTGGAACACAGGGTGGCTTCAAGAGATAGAGGCCTGAAGTTTCAGTAGCAGTGGTGTTTATTTTTTCACGGGATGGGGTTGCTAGCCTCATGCCCAAACAACCTTCCCTCTTTACCAGTCTAATTACTGGCTTAATGAGGTAAAGGAGGAGTGCGTCGGCGGAGGATCGAATCCCAAACCACTTGCGTGGTTGGCAAGCATTCGTACTGCTGTGCCACCGCCGCACTTTGCAACTCATATAATTTTATATTTTCCTTCATTTTTAAGTGCATCCTGACTACAGCTCATTCTTCATTAAATTACTCACCTTATTACTTAACACTTTAATACATTCAAATCTTTTTACGCACTAACTAATGTTCACATGTATATTGGTGAAAACTCATCACTTTTGTTACTACCCTCCTTTCATGAAGAAAAAAACTGTACATAAATGCGATTGTACAGCTAAAGCAGTAAATGAATACGAGCTTGCCTTTTTAGCGGAAGGTCCTCAGTTCGAAACTCGGTGGGTGTGTACTGCAGATGAGTCCCAAACTAGGAAAATGAGCCTATTCGCTAAACCACTTCCCTTGTTTTTACCAATGTTCAGATGGGAATTTTTCATGAATAATAATAATAATATCTATTAATTATGAAATATCAGGTTCACACATTCGAGATAAACACTGTGCAGACAAAATTATAATAATAGCAATTACAATGCATGCATTATTACTAATTCTATTATAAAATTGATTATTAACTCAAATTCAACTTACCAGCTTTATGTGCACACTGATAGTGATAACTTAAATTACATCCTCGATTACAACAACTCAAAATTGCTCCAGGTTTATGACAAAATGAACACTTCTAAAGTATTGACAACAGAGAGAGAAAGAGAAAGTTGATTTTTTTTTAAAATAATATCTAACCAAAATAAATAAAATAATCAAAAGAAAGAGAATTTACTGTGAAAACTTATGACAATGACTCATTTATACCCTCAAAATCCATCAAATCCCAATCAAAGTTCGTATATATATACATATTCCTATGACAAGTCCATGTGTGTGATCAGATTATTCGAAATATGTTGCGCAAATACAACATTACAAGATTCAGAAGAATTACGTCTTCTTATTGCTTTGTCTAAAGAATATATACATTGTTAAATAAATCAACCTATTGAAACGGTAAAAGACGAAGAGTTTCGAAGACGATCAGATACCGTCGCAGTTCTGACCATAAACGATGCCAACTGACGATCCGCGATGTTTCTATAATTGACACTGCGGGCAGTCCCCGTGAAACATTTAAGTCTTTGGGCTCCAGGGGAAGTATGGTTGCAAAGCTGAAACTTCAAGGAATTGACGGAAGGGCACCACCAGGAGTGGAGCCTGAGGTTTAATTCGACTCAACACGGGAAAACTCACCCGGCCCGGACACTGTGAGGATTGGCAGATTGAAAGCTCTTTCTTGATTCGGTGGATGGTGGTACATGGCCGTTCTTAGTTGGTGGAGCGATTTGTCTGGAGATTGGTATCTCGATATAGCCAAGTTATGTGTACATTATCTTCAACACAGCATTTGCATAGATCTTCCGTGTTATGCTAATTCTGGACTTTATGTTGTGTTTCTTTGTGTTCTTTTCACGTCTTCTATGTATCTGTGCAACGCTGTATCATTTGCTTTCTCTGTAATCGAATGTGCCTCCCTGCTATTTGATGTTTTTATGCCGATGAACGTCTCTTTATTTACTACTGATAAATCTTATCAGTAGCACTCGTCATACTTTGACCTGACATCAATATGGTTGGAGGTAATCGGTAGGAAGCCCTGTCTAGCCTAGGTTTCGCGCTTATTGGTTCCCTTCAGCATGACTCGTCTGTTGCAAACTTGGATTAACTGATGTCCCTGTATCATCCAGTCCTGAAGGTAGACACGTCACAACTGAACAGGTCAGGCTGATGACTGACCTTCTATAGGACACCAGTTCCTTTAATGTTGCAGACATGCCTTGCTAAAGAGCTTTACCAAGTATGAAATCTTGGTTCAGGAGTTCCTGCTAATTGCCTCCGATCATCTAATATCGTAACAGAGTGCGCTGTGATGGTCAGTCACCCAGATTGGTGACCACATTGAAAACTTGACTGATACGATTCCGCCGGTGCTTAAACAAAAGCACTAGACGCAAAACTTTGGTTTCTCCTTAGTGATTAATGAATGAAGATGATATTTATTTATTTGAATCATCGTTACGTTGCCAGTCAAGTGTCACATATTCACTAAACGACTAAGCGACTGTTTCTTTCCCATTTGGTGTTGAATAATTAATTCGCTTGTAGGAATTTGATTTTATCACATACTGATGCTAGTCAGAAAAATCACGACAGCTAAGAAACATTAGGCATCTCTATTCCCGTCCCAAGTTTGCACCACTTCACAGTAGTGAGCACCGACGACCTTCCGAGTTTGGATTGATAAGCGTTCTAAAAGGCAACTCCATTTTCGAAATAAAAGTATGACGTGTATTTGTTACTTATGTGAATATACCTAATGGAATGCAACTAAAATACAGAGAAATAAGTAAACTCACCGCATTTAGGGCTAGTTGCAAAGCCTCGCCGAGTCCCCCAATGACACCATTTCCTTTCATGTATGTTCCAGGAGCCCAAAGTACACACTCAAAATGAAACCAAACTTCACCATCGGATCCTACTCTAGGCTTTAAAAATGTGGACGACTCGTTGTTTGCTTTACATTCATTGGGTGGATTTTTCAATAAGCGTTGAGCACTTGAAGCCTTGATAACTAGGCGGAGAACACCAGTATTTGCGACTGTAGTGCGTCCCTGAGCTGCTGCAGATCGTGTAGTTGTTGATGTGATAACACCAGAACGAATAGCCCTTTCTATACTCTTTGCACGTCTAGATAGAGGTGACGTTGGTGTCTCAGACTGGATTTCTTCATCTGTTGATTTGTATTCATCAGTGGAACTATAGGTGAGTTCTGAGGGCAGCTGTTTTATATCAGCTTCTGTAAGCCAATAAGGACCGTATAAACAACCAAGTTCAGTATACTTGTTATCCTCACCGCAGAATGCACATATCCAAAGACTTTTGGGATTCACTGAGGTAGGAAACTGGTAGTCACGACCACGAAGAGGACCTGAAGGTCTGTAGGTAATACCTAAAAAATGGAAAAAAAACTTACATGAGCTCAAGTGTTTACGAAAGGCACATTATGCCTATTTGAAAGCAACGAGAACACTCATACCTGCCAAGATACTACGAGACTCAATCCCCACATCATGTTTTTCAGCATTAACTGATTCACCTCCATTCAGATTAGAGGCTTTGAATGGACAACTGACTGGTATACTGCAGTGAGAGATATTAATGCCACCAACTTGTTGAGCAGATAAGTCGCGTAAAGCGGGATTGATTATATGAGCGGATAAAGAGCTCATATCAACTAATTCATTGTCTGGTGTTATGCTATTGGTCTTTGAGCCGGATGGAGTGCAGTTGGACTTAATGACTTCTCCTGAAGATTTCAGCAAACTAGAAACTGTTTTTCCTCCTTGACAAAGGCACAAGAAAGGTGATTCTAAGTACTTTCTACGCATAGCAATATCTGCACTTGTTCCACCAACAGTTTCTGAGGTAGCCCCACCAACAGATCTGTAAAGGATCGAAAAGGAAAGAAATTTAATATGACAAAAAAAGAAGACATTTTTTTAAAAATTGTTGCTTATCACAGCAATCAAAGCTCTAGTTTAGTACTCAATACTCGAATAACAACTGCAGTACAATCCTCGACAGCTGCCACAATTCCCTAAATACCAAACGATCAACCAGCGTTGACCAAGAAATATAACAGGGAACTTACACAATTGATAAACAGGGAAATCATCCTGATGAGACCTGACAGAGGTGAAGGCATAGTGTTTATGCATCGTATTGATTACATTATTAAAATGTCTATTATTTTACCTGATAAGACAAAATTCATGGGCCAAGTTAAACTTTAAGCACCAGTAACTACCAATAGAGTACGGCAGCACTAATGGCCTTCAATATACTAATGAAATTCTTTACGTGAGTTCAAGGGTTTATTCCCCTTTATTTGTGTCAAATGCCTGCTCTAACGGAGTCACATCTGAAATTTAGTGTAGACCAAGTTTCTCAGTATTGCTTGGATGTGGAATTGATTAAAAAGGAAAGAATTTCTTCCTGTGGAGGTATCATGAGCACAAAAAGCTTCAGTAGATCGACTGATAGATACGTTCGCCGTTGGAAATTTTGTTTGATACTGAAACGGAGTATAGTCTCGTTTCAACCATTCGGTTACTACCAGCACTGCAAAGATATTGCATCTTGGAAGATGGACAGAGTTACTTCTTTTTGTGTCACACGTCAGAGAAGCCTATCTATCATGTGTAACATTTTTTATGCCTTTTCATAAATTATTTTCATAAATATATATGTATTATATACGTAAAAATATAATCTTTCTCATGTGATTGGTGCGTTCAAGGTCATTCATTCATTGGTAGTTACTGGAGCTTAGAGTTTAAATTAGCCAATCAGAGAAAAGAATAATATAGAATACACGTTGAGCAGAATTTAACGCATGTTTTCTGAAGATTGAAAGACTGTTCCTTTTCATCATTGATTGCAAGGTGTTTCGTGAACCGATGAGACCTCTAAGTATTAAATATGTCCAGGGTGTATGAAATATATTTATGGTACACAAAAAAGAATCGCTACTTCAACCTATTCTTGATATGTTAGGATTACCTTACCATAGGATTGGCAGACTTTTGGAGCGGATCAAAAGGCAATTTCTTCTTTGCCCAGTCAGTGATTCTGATGATTTTGTCGATTGTATTGATAAGGTTGAATGTTATGATGAAATTATAATTTGATTAGATGGAGTCTCTCTGTTTACGAACATCTCACTGACTGAAACAGTACGTTACATATGCTGAATATAGTAACTACAACGGTTTGAATATTGGCACACCTACTTACTATTTAGAAGAACCCTCATTAAGATGTGCCTTGAATGTTCTGTTCTTCTTCAATAACAAGGCTTACAGATAAAGAATAGCACAGCTACGGGTTCACTATTAAGCCATCTTCTTGTACATTTCTTCATGTCAAAATGTGAGTACAAAAATAAACCATTTTGATATTTTACAAAAGATATACAGATGACCTCTTCATTATATTGAAAACCAGAGACAATTTGGAAGAAATTCCAAGAGATTGTCCCATCTTAGAAGAGTCCCACTTAAAATTAGTTTCCCTAGATATACGGCTAATCAGACGTAGTAGACGAACGCTGAAGAAAACCTAGGTGGAACAGATAACTTACTAACTTTCATGGTTGGGTGACTTCGAACACTAAACGGAACATGATTTTTCCCCTTGGTCACAGAATCCATAATGCCTAATGTCCATATGCTCTCTGTCTGTCTGTTTTCGACATAGAACTTTGCATCCATGTGCAGCATTTCAAGTCGCCACACTCCATGTAGCGCACAAAGCAAGAGAAGAAATTAGAAGAAATGCATAATAGAGATAGTGGACAAGGATATGAGACAAAGGAATAGTAATAACGAAGAACAATACAGTTTCATTGGAAATTATAAGTTACAAGGAGTGGATGCATCTGCTCTATTCATTGAGAACAATTTTGAGCCATATCACCGATTGTTTCCAGCCATTGATGTTTACCGTCCCGAGGATCCCAACCAGGAAGTATACACCTTCCTACGCGACTGGCTTAAACTAACTATTGTGGATTTCATTGACTGATGCCATGTTTTGGTTTGACCGCTGCTAGCTCTTTTCCAGCCTGACCCTATGTCAACTAACATAGCCCGTCGAGGAAGGCGATGGCTAGGCATGCGTAACACATGTCCTAACTATCTCAATCTATCCAGCTTCACAGCCTCGTCGATTGATTTCCCCTCCTTACCTAGAACTCGACGCCCAACCATATACTATCATCAATAAACTTGCAAAAATGTCTTGATGAAAAACAAATATCCCGAACTGCATAAACAAAATACAATCTCTAACTCCAACCCCAAAAACAGCTGTTTTAAATTTACAATTTAATGAGGACTCATTGGCAGAAAAGTCTTAAGAAACTGTTCACTCTCTAGAGAACTAAAGAAAAATGCCTTTTTTTCTCTACACAATGTAGGATTTATTTATGCGTGAAGGATCCTTGCCTCAATGAGTACCTCTCGGTTCATCCACTCCTGTGAAGCTAGGTATTTTGGCTGTACCCAACGTTTACTTTTTACATGCAAAATCAAGATATATGCATTCCTGCTTTCATAAAAGAGAAATAAAATCTCACAAATGCGCATTTTAGAACATTTAGACGATTTTAGCCGTCAGGTGAACCCACAAATCAGTTTTAGTATCATCTACATAAAACATGGAAATCTTAAAACGGTGATGATGTACTCAATAATTAGATTCACAGTATATATATGTATTTATATATTCTATTTCATCCTTGAGAATTATTTCTTCAAGTCTGTTATCACCATATTACATCATTTTTCTGTCTCACAATTCCCCCCTTCTAACTAATTCCTTTGACTACATTCAATCATCATCTAACTAACCCTAATTACTTAATCTCGATGCGTTTTTGATAATATTCTAATGTAATTAGCAAAATATTTTTTTAATTGCGCCAATGATTTTGAGTGTTTCGAACACTAATCACAAGTGTAATCTGTTAAGGTAAATTCGAAAGGAAAGAAATCCCTTCTTTTCTTACGAAATCGATATTATGCATACGATTGTATAAGTCGGTGAAAACAATCTCGTCCTCCTGTGAATGTAGGTTATACTGTGAAAACGATGAAAACAGTTAAACACTGGATATAATCAGTCAGCGGAGCAGCTAAGTAAAGTTGTTAAAATCTCAAATATTGGTTTTTATAGGGATTTTTTTGATTGGTTGGAGGATTTCATCATGAGCTGACATCAGTTAGAGAACCATTGGAAAACCTGCAGGGAGTACTGGACAGCTGTCTCGTCCAGTGAGTACTGAGGAAGGGTTCAAAACTAAGACGAGACAACTGTCCAGTACTTCCAGGTTCCCTAACTGATGTCAGCTCATGATGAAATCCTCAAAACAATCAAACTAAATCCCTACAAGTACCAATACTTGAGAATTCATGTGATGCTCACTAGCGACTGGCCCTATCCAGGCAATGACCTTGGAATCTAGTGGGAAGCCATGACCAGTAGGATGCAGCAGGTTGAAGCTGAGGCAATAACTCATCGAAGAAGACATCGCGAAGTGGTCGCACTATGTTGTGAATAGGCAGAAGATAGAATTCATGGAATGGCTGTTGGATTAGGTCCCAGTGGCTTAATGGTCTACGAGTTCACTAGCCTTGTAACCAGAAGGTCCTGGGTTCTAACCCTAATGGGGTGGGTGCGTACAGGTGAATAGTTCCAAACTAGGCTGACGAAATGGCTGTCCGGTACTCCCAGTTGGTTCTCCAATGGTTCTTTAAGTGATGTCAGCTCATGATGAAATCCTCGAACCAATCAAAGAAGACTAGGGATTAACGTGCGACAGGAGGTAAAGTTATATATTGTTTATTTTTCCCCCTCAAACAGTTCAAATTCATACTCATCATTAAGTTAGGTATAGTCATAGATGAGACGACTGGCGAAATTATTGATGTACTTACAAGGATCCACTAAACACATATGATGGTTGGGTCATGAGTTACACACAACTACCCAACGCATACACTAATGAGTAAAAGGAGTGGTTTGAAAGCAGAGCAGACCAGGCCAGATAAGACTAAGGTACTAGCACTAGTGAACGAAGTTATCGAGGGATAATTTCAATTCTCCAGTTGTCATTCTAGGGTCCCCACATGACTAACGAAGTAATGGTTTGGCGACACATTGACACAGATGCATTCGTATCAATCGACAGTTATGAAGTGACATCGATTGAGATGGTTAGAACATGTGTCAAGCATGTATAGCCACTGCTTTCCTCGACGGGTACAGGATCAGGTTGGAAAAGAGTCAGTAGTGGTCAAACCAAAACTTGGAAACAGTCCCTGAAAGCCTCGACAAATAGTTTGAGCCACGTAGGCAGGTGTAAAACTATTTAGTTGGAGTCCTCAGGATGCTAACGACCAGTGGCTTGAGACAATTGGTAGTATGACTCAGAATCGTTCTCAATGACAGCGCAGATGCATTCACTCTTTGTGATTTGTCATATCCAATAAAACTCTATTCTTTTTCCCCTCACTCACACTTATGTTTATTATCTCTTTACTCTCTTCTCTTGCTTTGTGTGCTACATGAAGGGTGGGTGACAACTCGAACTGCCGCACATCTGTGCAAAGCTCTACGTTGAAATTGGGTCAGTAAGCATTCATATCTTACCTTCACTTTAAGTGTAATATTCTATTTCTTTATAAAGACTATTTATCACACTTTTGTCTTAAAGCATTCTTAAATCTGTTTATTTCCATGGTTTTATTTCTATTATAATAAATTTCCACTTGACATGCAGATATGACGTGTGATAACTTGGATTACCACGCAGTAATGTAGAAAGAAGTCTTATAATAGCAATGACTGACTGAAACTATATGCATGAATAAGCCTTAAACAACCTTGTCAGATAAATACTTAGGCGTCATATATCATGGTTTTAAATAATATAAATCCTAGGCCAATAGAACTCACCTTTTATTATTAATCTTTTGTCGTGCTCGACTAATAGCAGCCCTTGCATCTGCTCTTCCACGAGACCCGCTTGCTTGGGATTGCGAGAATGGTTCAAAGTCGGAATCTGAATCGCCTAGAATCTTTCGTGACTTGGTTCTACGCCTTGGACGAGCTGATGCTTTTCGCTTAGGTGTCACCTTGGGCTTGTCAGTAGTTGTTACTGCATCATCTGTCTTGCTATCCTCCCTTACATCAGGCAAGCTAGTTTTGATAGAATCATCCACCTTTTCTGTGGGTTCTTCCCATTTACTAGGTGAAAGCAGGTGATTTTCTAAGATTAACTGTGGGATCTTTGGTTCGTCAACTTTTAGCGGTGAACTGTTGTTCGTGCGAACCATGAAGTTATCAGCAACTTGTTTTATAGGTGACCCAAGAACAATAGAGATTTTCTCAAGGATTGGTAGACCATTTGTAACATGAATAGTTTCATTTAGAGTTGATGAAGAAGATGTAGAGGAAGATGAACTACTTGAACTGGACATAGATATGTCACTTACTATTCTAGGACATCTAGAGTTTGTTGGTTTATTGAGGGTTTGTGGTACTTGCTGATTGATCATTTTGAATGTTTCCCCAGCGTGAGTGCTCTTCTCAGAAGCTGACAGGGATGAAATAGATGAAGGCCCTCGAATTTCAGCAACAATAATTGGAGGTGATGGAGAAGACGGTTGATTATTATTATTAGTAGTATTGCTACTTCCATGTGTGGGTGATGAACTAACAGGAGAAAGAGCTGGAGGTGGTGGGGAGCTACTCCAAGAATGATACTGAGAATAATCTGCACCTAGATTTTGTTCCATGGAGACAGTGAGACTAGGAAAGCAAGAGGAAAAAGTAGATATAGATTTGTTGAACCCATTTCCGGAACACAACATCCCATGACTTGAGGAGTTTGGTAGGCAGTTTAGGTGATTCTCGTGACTGTGAGAACCTGGGTTCAGTACACGTCGACTGTTATCACGCATTACACCGGGAGACAACTCAGTATTCCTACCCACCATAGGATTGTAGTTTGATGAATTATTCATTTTTGCGAGAACTGTACATACTGACGCCACGAGATAACTGAAATTCCACTTCCGAACTGTTAGATAGTTTCGCAAAATATAAATCAATCTGATATGTGTTTGATGTAACTCAACAGACGGGATACAAACAAACTGAGTATCCGCTGGTACAGCGAAAACACCTGAAAAAAGATGGACAATGTAATGAAGGACTCAAATAAATACACTAAACAAAAGTTTTTAGTGAACACTGATATAAACGGGCCTTTGTTTGGATTATGCTATAAGATGCTGTCCTGGACTTTTTATTGATTCATAAATCAACTGTTGGATCATTTACAATCATTTAACATGTGTAAATCATATGTACCAGCGAAGATAGTGTAAACATACATGCATGCCCAGTTAGCTGATCTTTAAAATGAGCCGAATAATGTAGCAACTGATACACTGATATCGATTCTGCAGTGTGACATTTCTCTTTAAAATAGACTAGATCCACAGAGTCATTTTCCAGTCGTTTACACGCTTGTTCAACGGACATTATTTTTGTCGTTTGTAATTATTTCACGTGGTTTTCCATTCATGCTTAATAGCTATTCAAGGGAAACGGAATATGTTAAAGCATCTGTGAAGTGTCTTGACAGCTTATAGTTATTAAGCAGAAATTTGAAAAATTGTCAGTCTAATGACTTCCTTCAGTATGAAAAAAATCTACAGGTTTCTACCCTTAATTTGAAAATTTGATGAAAATAATAGAGCGAATTATGAGAAAATGTGCAAATTAGAAGAAAAGCTTAATCTATTTTGTTTGGTTTTATTTACATGTACTTGGTGACGAACCACTTTTGTGTGAGCTCTGATAATACTACTTGGCTGTCTAAACCTCTATAAGTGGAGAGGGATTTGAACACAAGACCCACTAACTGATAGCTGATCGCCTAAATCAATCAGCCACATACCCAAGTCTAATGGCAGTTTCTGGAGACAGAAAGGTGTGATCTCACGATTTACCTAGACCAGTATGTCTGTTTCATTTACACATTCACTGCTCATAGATTATAGACATGAAATAAAGCCAAGCGGTTGACTGGAATTCACATATCTTTGTGGAGGAGTGGATTACAAGTATCATATGAAAGTAATTAAGTACTTAAATTTTGTACGCCTGTCAAAACGTAATAGCCTCACGAACTATGAGAAGAACGAAATACAAAATGCGTCATTTACTATCTATTAAACTGCATGTTTAATACTTTCAAAACACAGAAAATCGGTCAGTAATAATGTTACATTAGTAATACCATTAAACAAATTCCTCAGTAGTATAAATTGAGAGGCATTCAGTAATAAAATGACATTGAAACAGACAAAAATATAAGTTCATTAAAAACAACAAGTTACCCAGAAAAGATTCATGTACCTATCTGGATCACATTTGTTGTGTGAAGGCTGGTGTTACCAGCCGGTCATGTAAGCTGCAGTAGTTGCAACGGGAATTGAATTTGAGACGTTGTGATTAAGTCAAACGAGCTAAATCCCAACTAACTTTCGGAGTGAACAATGTATCTGAGTGCCTAATGTAAGGCTAAAATATGGAATTTAAAAAGTCTCCAGATAGTGAATTACCAGTAGTGTCTCGTGATTTTCTATTCATGCTGAATAGCTATTCAAGGGAAACGAAATACGCTAAAGCAACTGTGAGGTGGTTCAAGGGTAGAATGTCTGCCAACCACTGATGTGGTCCGGAGGTCAATACCCGGTAGACGCACTTCTAAACCTCCCTTGGCGGCTGACAGGCCAAGTAACGACGGAACGCTGGGCGTGAACGCAGCAATCCCAACCCGTAAAAATACTACAGTCTTTACTGAGACTTCAGAATTCAAATCTTATGTCTTTGTGTTTGTATCTGGAACCCAAGGGGGTGAACAAAAAGGCGTCAACGACATTTGGTAAAGCCCGTAAAGTAAGCAACAAAAACTTAGTATAGTCATGTGGTGCATGTCATCTGATAACTATGTAAAACTCTAGTGAGTTAGTTTTAATTATTGACGCGATCCTACGGAAAAACTGTGAGGATAAATTTGAAGTCAAATATTGTGTACGAGCATATCAAATGCAGCCTTTTGATAATTGTAACCAATTTCCTGCGTAATATTATTTACTATTCATATCATTGACTGAGAGAAGCAGAGACTACGATGAAATATGACATAATGATATGGGAAGAAGACGAATTAATACCCATATTTGACCCACAATACGTTGACTGTGTTTGGCACAACTTAGAAGCTACCGATTTTATCAGATGAGTTAACATTCATTGGAGTAAGACAAGTGCATTTATATTCTGGTCCTCATTGTTATTGAAATAACACTTGTTTCATGGTGTTTCAGAACTACCGACAATTACCCACACATTGAGTAATATTTATATAACTCCATGTTAATAATATTCCGTTGAATTAGGTGTAAAAGGCTTTGGCAGTACATTAATACCCTAACTTTGAATTATTTCCATATTATTGAAATTAAGTAGATTTGGACAACCGAACACCAAATAACCCATAAAAACTACGACAATAATTAAAGTAGAACGGATATTGGTTAATCGCAAAAGTTTATGCTATTTCGTATGACTCTTCTTTAAGTCCGAATTTAACAGCAAACCAAGGGTAAATTTTGAAAATGGGACGCAAAACAATTAGTCATTAAAAGTTGAGTTTCCATTCTTAAACATCACTAAATATAATTTTAGCACACCTGCGCAACATACAACTGATCGAAATCTTGAACCACGACGGTGACAACGCTCAAAGCTGTATTTTATAAAACGAGACTGTTAACCCTGAAAACATTAGTGCACACATAAGTGATCGTGATGAAGATCAGTTAGGCCCGCATTCCAAATAAAAGCTTATGGATGGCGATGCTGTCTGTAATTTCTAGGCAGTAAAACCTCTAAAATGAATATTTACGGGAAAAGGAGTTCCAAATGACAAAATAGTGTATATGAGCAGTTTATTGAAAGAACACAATTTGGGTAAACACACTCGTCTAAAGTTGAACTCACGTGATGCTCTCAAATATTATCGGTAACATACAACTCTGCACAAATCTACGTATCCAGGATGTCAAACTGAAATATCCAGAAGGAAATATTATTAACTCATTCCTCATGGAATAGATATAGCCGCCATACAATTGCCGCGTGCCCTTGAGTGCACATAAACAATAGTGACAATGATGCTAAATTTTATATACTTTAGTTTGTTGATAGAAAGGCCCTGCCTGCGCCAGTTATCTTTAATGTGGCATTTTTAAGACCATTTCTATTCTTCAAGGAATAAAATACTGAGAAATGAAGCAATCGTACTATCAATACCCGAGCTTGCAATAGTGCTGAATCAAATCTCTCTAATTCTGAGATAACTCCAACATTCTATAGTGAGTATATTCTGAATCTGTTATTAAATGGTTTGTTTAAGCGCTCAGAAATAAGTGCTGGTTTTCAGTATGACAGGCTCTAATTCAGCACCCTTCTCTTTTTCTATGCATTTTCAGGAGTAGATTAGAACCTACTGGGTTTGCATATCATCATTGTTCCTACCCTCACAGGACATATTAAGCACTAAGTAGCACTACTTCAGAACGAAAATGCTGGCGCAAATTCATTTAGTTTGCAGAAAGAAATCAGCTTTTATAACTGTTAGAATTTTGTATTTTGAATTTGTAGTACAATGTTACTGCAAATCCGTCAAGTGAGGTTCACCAGTAGCGTCCTGTAAATAAGCATATTATAAGATTAGTTGGGGAAAAATTGTTCGTCTTATTTTTGGCATTTACATTCAGAAAGGTGTACTTACACAACTGCCACTGTTTTATTCCCTGGTTTCTTTTTCATTTGCCTAGAAATAAAAATCAATGTTGTGATTACCACATGTTTACTGAACCGTGACTTATAAAAGTAAGCAGGCGTTTCCAAATATTGCTTGAATTCCTTTCTTCAGGCTCCGCATTTGGACATGGTCTTTCAAATTATGAAGGTATGATTTCGTGGCCCTATCCAGTAAATCACCAACCTCTCTCGACGACATTAGTTGGCCGGAGAACTGAGCCACTATTACAGCTATGGAAGTAAGTACTTCATTCATGAACCTTACATATCATTATTCTATAAAAGGAATAAGGCACAATGCTGGACTTTGTCACAGTCCCTGGGAAGTAAACCTCAAGTTTTAGAACAGTGTGCATCATGACTTTAAGTGATAACTCCAGATTACTCCACAGGCAGCCAACCATTTTAGCAGTCCACAAGGAATTAGAATTAAAAACGCGATTTCACAAATATTCTCTTGTACTATGCGTCTATTAAAGATGCTTCCACCATTTCTATGCTGACTTCATTCGCGATTGGAAAGTCCATTGTGTAGTCACCGTTTGCTGGAGGGTCGGTTTGCAGTCAAGATTCGTTGTTAATTGTAACAATATTCAGGATTTTCGTACACAAATTGATTAGATGCATCGAAGAACCTTCAAATAAATAATTTTTAAGTACTTACCACTTAATTTCTTAAAATTCATAGAATAATCGACAGCTTCGTAAGATGGCAATCTGGAGCAAGTTTACTAAATGCAATAATTATTCCTACTGGTTAGATACAGTTATCGTCTTTTTGCCAACAGGAGGTGAAGAATGGAAGTTTGGAGCCTTCACAGTACTGAAAATGAATGATATTGAATTAAGTCAATACCTTGGAATTGGGGTTACAAAGTCATCGAATATATTATAATCTGGATATTGTGGCCTGATGAAACCAACTTCGATGGCAGCTTCATCAGTATCTATAGAGTTGTAAAAAATCCTTCTCATTTTTCTTTGCATCCCTGAAAAATATGTTGGACAGGAAACAGTACCTACCTTTTCGGTCTCCTCCTAGGCACTGGCAACGTGTTATCGTTCGTATCTACCTTTTTAGTGCTTTGACCACAGCTTCTCAAAAGCTCTAAAGGCTTTTGACAGTTCTCGTAATTATCTGGACAGGTAATAATGAAATATTCCAACTTACCAAATTCCTGTAGCTGAGAGAATTCAAACACTAACCATCCAGCCCCAGTAAACACAGGCTGTAGATGGTTTGCGGTTAGGCAGTATGCACATAAACCACTTTGCACAACCTAAATGTTTGAACTATAAACTACACTATCATCTTTTAGTGACCGGACGACGAGAAATATGATTGATGTAGAATTCTACAAAAGGATATGTAATGAATTGGAAATACGTCTGTGCTACTTTAATATGTATCAGGTTGCTTTAAAAAACTAACAGCATAGATATACCTATATCTCAAAAACTCGGATAAAGTGTCAAACGAATTGTAGTTTAACCAACGTCTGAGTATCCCTAAATTCCTGGATTTAAACGGTGAAATAAAATTATCACTAAAACCCGTATCTAACACACTATCCGAGTTGTTTTCCTGATAATAGAAATGGACAAATAGTCTGCACCAAAAATCTAACTAGTCTGCATGATTAATAGTCTGTAAACGTAGGGAGTACTGCTTAGATAACTTTAGGCAAACATCCACTTTTTAAATATAAAATGGTATGGCAGATGATCAACAGTGGTCATTTGGTGAATTCTAATCACAACTGTGATTATTTTCCCCATAACAAGTATGTGTTCTCACCTGTGAATCAACATCATCTCCCCCCTTCTTTGTTTCGTCTAGATTCTTAAGGTTTTAATATATGACCTCGTAAACAGTGTTCTGTAATTGAAACTATTTACATTTCAATTGTGACAAGTATCCTCTTTCATCTATGGGATATCATTTTTCACCACCCATTTGTTTGGTTTTAAATTTTGTTTCCCATATTTTCATTCTTCATTAGCGAAATACAAACGAAATTCTTCATATTTCATTTACGACAAGTATATGTTTTCATCTGTTGTAATTGCCCCATTTTTGTTCGAGTACTTTTGGCCTGTTTATAAATATTTCTTTGTTTTTCATAGGTGACCTCATCTCAGCTGAACTGTCATCAAATTCATTGACATTTCACTAATGACATATATTATTCATAGTTCGTATAATAATAAAAACCCTTTTTGGTTACGAAAAATTTTCGTAGTTTTCACATGTGACCAGTTCATCTGTCCCTACCCCCTTGTTTTCGTGATTTGCTTATTTACTATCACATCTCTGGTCAAATAGACAAATATGTAATTAGCCGACAAGTCTGTAGCAATCACACTTCTTATTCTGTGTGAAACTTACTCGTTCGCTGATTAGTAGGTCTCAATATACTAACATCAAGCCCAGTCACCTAACTGTTTCCTTTGTCCACAAAACTTAGAGTGCTATTTTTCAGTACTAACTGCAGTAGTTAGGCATGCAGTGCTTTATTTCAACACTAAAGGCATTATTTCATACGCAAATCTCATTTTTAAGATTTTATCGCATTAGTTAAGAACCTAGAGCTGTTTTGGGGCACGATCAGCCTTATTCCAGGACATAGTAGGTAGATAAAATATTCATTTACCATAAAAAGGCATTATCGACGCATAGTTTAGAATAAGTTTAGAATTGTTGTAGGCTTGGGTAGTGCTTCGCCAGAGAAAGAAATTCAAAGGAAAGTCTCATTACTAAGTAAACTTAATTGCGTCCTAGTAGTTAACTGATTGGCCTTACGGGTGCTTAACTGACTCTTGGTTGCTGCACCCCAATTTCTACCATATGACGTATTCCCAACTAAGTTTAGAGATATAGTTCAACTACTTGGTCTTGGCTGCACTTGGCAGGTTGTTTGAAATTTCGCTTGGTAAATCTTCTGTGAGTAATTCTTGATAAAATTGCGTTGTACCTTGATATAAGAATAAAACTTGGGCACTGTGGTAGAGTGTAATTCCATTATGGGTAAATTTTATTTTTATAGAGTCTCACAGTGTTATACAGTAATATTTACTGATGACGTTTCGAGCACAATTTATTGCTCATAATCATATCAAGTTATATCATATCCCAATTAGACAAAATAATATAATTTACAAAATAACTTACAATGACTGTGAGGTCAACTACATAGGTCAAACTAGTAGGTCAGGGGTAGTCAGATTGTCAGAACATAAGAATTTAGCTAAGGTAAGAATGGTTGACCCAGAGAAGATAAGTAATTTAGAAAAAAGCTCGGCAATTGCAATGCATGCTTTAACACACAACCACACAATAGGGTGGGAGAGGGTTAAAATTCTAAAAAGTAATCTAGGTAGGTGGAGAGAGAGGTTGATTACTGAATCTTTGTTCATCGAATCTACACCCAACACATGCAATAGGAATGAATCATCACTCATACCCGAGATATGGAAAATAATACTACCAATCAAATCAAGTGAAAATCAAGTGAAAAACAATGGAACTATATAAATGAATTTAGGAAGTCGTGTGATTAACTTGATATGATTATGAGCAATAAATTGTGCTCGAAACGTCATCAGTAAATATTACTGTATAACACTGTGAGACTCTATAAAAATAAAATTTACCCATAATGCGTTGTACCTTGTCTAGGTTGATAGGAACTCTCCTTTCCCTGCGTGACATGTTGGTGTCCTCGTAATGTGGTCTGGCTGCTGCACACTCCTAACACATTGGTTGTAATGTTTGAGGCCAACTGTACTGAAATGCCGCTATAATGGTCAGGATGAAATAACAGAGGGCTAACATCATCCATACAAATACTCTGCTTTATTTAGAAGCTGCACTTTTAGGCGAAGAATCATTCAATGAAGAATTCACATGTCCCGGGATATCAATGCAGCCTGTTTTCGTATGAAGCATGGTACTATTTGACAAGTGAATGCTACCAGTGCATGGAAGTCATCTACAAAGGTTAACAGAACTTTCTATTAGAACATAAGTTATGATATTGATGCATTTTTCACTGTATGTGTGTTTGAACAGAAATTATTGTAAGTCGAATGGTTATTCCATATTAGTTTGTTTATTTGATATATCACACAGTGAAACAGTATTATTTACTGGATGACGTTTTGAACAAAATTTATTGTTCATAATCATATCAATTATAATCACACGACTTTGACACTTGAGTTTTATAGTTTTCTTTGTTCTCTCCTATTTGTCGTTTGGGTAGTAGAATGGTTATCTCTAAGTGGATTTAGTATATAGTTGCACTGATTA